GAATACTTTCCGTACCCACTGTATATATATATATATATATATATATATATAAATTGTTTTCTGATCTTCTGAAAGGAGACTAATTGAATTTGACAATGAAGTTGGGTACTCACTCATGAAAACATATTTTAACTTTCAGAACTCAAAACGTCCTCCCCAATACAAAAACACAACTTATGGAAATGTGTTTCAATTCGACAATGTAACCATCCAGTTACACACCAACAATATCTATTCTGGATTCATAAACATGGCTTGTCCAGTCAAACTGAGGCATATTTCTACTATTACACCAGAAGAAATAATTAACAAAAATTACAGTGTATGTAAAGTCTTGATCTATTCTTACTGTATGTAGCACCTACAGCTCTGCATAGAAATCTTTAAGTCTTTAAAAAGACTCCATAAAATAAAATAAAATAACAAAACAAAATAAAATAAGCCATCTCTTCTTTCGGAAAATGGTCATGAAAAGTGAATTAATTTAATGATTGTTGGCACAAAACACTAGACAAGCATGGCAAATGTAGTTCTGGGAAAAATAAATTACATAAGTAAAATCAAATAAAATATAATAAATGATATGGCCTCTTTAAATGCTTGTGCTCTCATGGCACCATTTTCTTTCACTCAAGCTAAATATCACAGTGACTTGAGCATGTGTCACATGATGGCAGTAAAGCTCATGCACTCAGTCCCGTGACCACCAATAAAAATGAGAGATTTTACTGGCCTTCAAATAGGTGATTTTTTTGTGTTTGCATGCCAACGTAAGCTTGCATTCTGTATAAATGCAGTTGGCTAAATGTCAAATGACACTCTGGTAGTTAAATTAGTGGATATGCCTATCACAGCCTTGGACAGAGAAGTATTGATAAGGGAACAGTTTTGTGACGCTCTCTGGGCATGACTTGAATGACAATGCTGAGATCCAACATGTGAGAGTGCCACGGAGCTGTGCTGAATAAACGTCTTGTCAAACTGGTTGACAGGGAGGGGCTGGTGGTTCTGCGAAGGCAATATGTGAGCTTGACCTATGCGTAAGATGCTTCCTTCAAGGAAAGATATTGAAAAGCTCTTGTTCAATATGTCAGGCGAGTCATGTGACTCGTAAGCGATAAATGTGCACACATACTTGCTTCTGTGTGGTAAAGTTCACATAATCAACACAAAATTAGAAATGATAATCTGTTTGATGTCAAAACACTTTCTTATTTTCCAGTTTAATATGCAAAAACTATAAGTCAACCATTCGTGGGTTGATTTCCATGAAAAAGGTAACATCAAAGGGAGTTTTTGTGTCTTCTCATCATTGAGCACACAGAACTTCACATCTCCTATCAGAATTTGGCTACTAAGTGTTTTGCATTAGCAATACAAAGTTATTTTAGTAGCTCAGGAATCTGAGATAGTGACGCTAGGCTAGAAAGACACTGTTTATACAAAAAGGAGCCATTTATTTTTAGACACAGGTTACCAAAATCCATAAATTAAGCATTAACTACAAAGCAAATGGCCACAATAATTAAAAATCAAAGCCACACCCTCAGGCCCACATAAATGCTCCCTCTTTTTCGTTTCAGCTACACTTTTTTATTTTAATATTTTTGTGGAAGCCGTGAGATATTTTTTGATTCTTTAATGAATAAAAAAGTTCATATGAACAGAATGTATTTAAAATTTAAATCCTTTGTAAGTAACATTATAAATGTCTTTACTGTCACCTTTGATCACATTCTTCTAATGCATCCTTGCTGAATAAAAGAACTAATTTCTTTAAAAAAAAAAAACTTGATCCCAAAATTTTGTTCAGTATTGTATATTGACTGACATACGGTTTCAATTTTACTTAATAAAAAAAAACATTCAGTGAGCTTTACCACTTATGTGGTCGATAATTTTAGGTATTTATAATGTAAGCGCGTATTTAGGCAGTAGGTCAATGCAGATTTGCAGAATATTGTATAGTAAGAATCAGTAGAAATTTTAAAGGGGTCATATGATGCGATTTAAATTTTTCCTTTCTCTTTGAAGTGTTACAAGCTCTTGGTGCATAAAGAAGATCTGTAAAGTTGCAAAGACTAAAGTCTCAAATCCAAAGAGATATTCTTTATAAAAGTTAAGAGTCAACCACACCTACCTAAAACGGCTCGTTCTAACACGCCCCCACATACCTACATCACTATGTGGGAAGATTTGCATAACACCGCCCAAATGTTCACACAAAGAAAGAAGGCCTAACTTTTATTCTCGCTGTAGTTGGGGCAATATATCGCACAACAAAAAGTTGTTATCGTGACAGGCCTACCCCTTTAAGTACATTTATAAGGCTGCATAAGGCCTAATGGTGTCTTCTGGTCTGTTTGCTGTGTGTCATTCGGAGCTCAATGAATAGGCTGGGGGCGGTGGGGGCACAGTTAATTGTGCAGTAAACTAGATTCTGATGACAGCCCGACAGCTGCTTCACAAAAACTGATCCAATCAAGTCTGCATCATACAGTTTACAATATTCATTCAGCGTTGCTTCAAATCCTCTCACATCCTAAACACACAGAAGCCCTTTCATCCCTGAAACGCTTCTCAAGCGGATGCTGCGTCTCTCTAGCAAAGGATAAAATATTGGCGAGACCGTGTGAGGTGTTGATAATGTCTCTTCCTGCAATGACGTGACAGAAGCGTGGTTGAGAGCCATCTGCTCCCTCTCAGCTGGTTGCCAGATCCTCTTTTAGGGAGGGGGTTAGTTCCATAATGCTAATAAAACCTGGTCCCTGTGGCTCCTGAAACCTCTGTGTTCTAGAACCAGGTCAATACACAGCCGTCCGCAGCAATTAGGCATGTATTTAAGAGCCAGTTAAGTGCGGTTCAGTCTCCAATGCAGACTAAGTAACCCAGTTGAAAAAAAACACTGTTTAAAAAAAATATTGATTGGCTGACACAAACAGGCAACCCAGGTCTAGTCTTCTAATTTCAATAGCACCCCCCTCTGGTCTTTTGGTCCTCTTAAAAATAAAGGTTCTTTAGCCTCGGTGGTTCCATGAAGAATCTTTAACATCCATGGAACATTTCCATGTCCTTTAGTGGATTTATGTTTCCTTTACATAAATCTCTTAGATCAATGTTTTGATGTTACCTTTTTCGTGGGAAAAAAAAATCCTTTTTTCAGATGATTAAAATGTTCTTCACACTAAGAAAAAAAAGGTTATTTTAAGAACTGTTCACTGAAAGGTTCATTCATTGTGAAACCCAAGGTGGTTATTCTATGGAATGACTAGGGGGAAAAACATCCTTTTAGAACTTTTATAGGTCTTAAAATTTGTATGGTTTTATTTTTGACAGCATAATTCGTAAAATCAAGAAATTTATAACAATTTCATTTTACAAAATAAATTAAGGTTTTCATGTACAGTGGGAAGGTTGCAGGACTACATGCAATTTTACGAATCTTAATATCAGATCTAGGAAAGATGGTTGTCATGCGAAACGGGACAAATATTCAGATATAATACTCTTTGCAATAGGCAGCTGATTAGATGGATTAATGATTGTTTTGAACCGTGAATAAGCCTGCATGAAAGCCATTTCAACATGCCCACCCACATGTTCAGTCAGCAGCGGGCTGAGAAAATGTGCAGTTGATGTGCACTTATGCCAGACAGTCACACAAAAACACCCCACATAAAAATTGAAGAAATACTGATACAACCAGTTCCTGTGGCTCAGTGGTAGAGCATTGCGTTAGCAGCGCAAAAGTTTGTGGGTTCGATTCCCTGGGAACACACATATTGGTAAAAAATGTATAGCCTGTATGCACTGTAAGTCGCTTTGGATAAAAGCGTCTGCTAAAAGCATAAATTACAACCAGGACAGATTTGAAAGCATTCAGTCTAATATTTGATCAGTACTTCCTCATTCAATCAACCTGTAGAATACCTGCAATCATTCCATAAGCTTCAGCAACCACACAGAAATTTTCAATTAGGTTGTCATCATACAAGATTCGTATGAAACAATGATTCAAGGCTTGTGCACACCAAGAGCGATAACTATAAAGATAACGATATTATTTAGCATCCACACCAATGAACGCTAACTTTCTGTTTATTATAAGTGCACACACAGTTTTGTGTGTGTGCTACTTTAAAAAGCTTGAGTCAGGTGGATTCTGATTGGCTGTCAATGTTTTTGCAACGGCCATTGCTATTATTTTTTAATTAAAAATATTTTATATTTTTCACATTATTTATTTATTAAACTGTTGATTATTTAACATTATTTATTTTTATTTATTGATATTATAAATGTTAATTTGTAAATGAGGGTTAGAGTTTAATCCACAACTTAAAGGTTAAAAAAAGTACAAAAAAGAAAAAAAAAATCCTCCCTGGGTACATTGTGTACATTGCACATTTATGCAATATTCTATAACTGTCCAAACACATCTAACTTGCAATAGCACAGAACAAAAGCTTGCCTAATTATATGGTAAATGGCAACAGCTGATTGGTCAATAACATTTTTAAGGTGGGGTTTAAACGGACAACTTACCCAAAAAAGATGATTCTATCATCATTTACTCACCCTGATGTTGCAAAACTGTAAGAGATTCTTTCTAGAACATAAAAGAAGCTATTTCGAGACATGTCTTTCTTGTCCAAATAATAGAAGTCAATCGTAACCAAAACGTTTTGGTTGCCAGTATTCTTCAAAATATCTTCTTTTTGTGTTCCACAGAAGACAGACAACAGCTTTGGAACACCATGAGAGTAAGTAAATGATGACAGAATTGTAATTGTTTGCTTTCACTTTAGATTATTGGTTTTTGTAACCTAAAATGGCTCCTTTTAACGAAGGCTTGATTGTCTTGCAAAAATGTCATTGATCTTTAATCAATGAAATTCTTTCATAAATGATCAACATTATACAATTTTGCAATTTTCAATCCACACTGCAACTACATGCAACCTAGTAATCAAGAAAAACAAATCCCAACGTCATGCTTTGAAAGGCAAATAGTAAGAGGCAGACGAGTGCAGGCTATCAGATAAGAAACTTCATTTAGGAGCAAAGGTATAAGAAACACATAACACGAAAGGAATTCCTGATTACACCAAACAAAGTACATCAATCCCATGTAATCACTGCACAGTGCACACAGTCAGGTTTTACATACCCCTCATATGAGCATCTTTTTTTCTCCTCTTTCTATCCTGCACCTGCACAGCTGGAGTCAGTGGGAAGACTTCACATCACATCACACAACAAAGACACAATCCAGCCCTAAAAATGCTTCCCCAACAAGCCTCTGCACTTGAATGGATTAGACTGAAACACAGTAAACCGCAATATGAAATTTACAGGTAGTCTAGCTAGAGTACTAGTTTGAACAGCTGCAGTGTTGGTGTATTTTATGGCTGTTTAAAGAGCAAAGTGGCTTCGTTCCAAAACCTAGTGAGTTGATTAATTTGGGTACTAAGTAGGTATCCTGTTACAAATCCTAGTGAGCAGCCTAACTAGATAGCAATTTTATATATTAGTTTATGTGCTAACTAGGTATCCAGCTCCAAAACCTAGCGAGTTGCCTACCTAGACAGCATTGTAGTGCATTAATTCGGGTACTAAGTAGGTATCCTGTTACAAATCCTAGTGAGCAGCCTAACTAGATAGCAAGTTTGCAACTTGAACTTTGTACATTAGTTTGTGCTAACTAGGTATGCAGCTCCAAAACCTAGTGAGCTGCCTACCTAGAAAGCATTTTGGGCATTAATTTAGGTGCTAAATAGGTGTCCTGTTAAAAAAAAAAAAAACACACAATTTAAATCAGACTAACAAGATGGTTACCTAGTCTAGCTGGTTTTCCAGACTGGCCAAGAGGAGTTCAGCTAGTTTAAGCTCGTCGACCAGCTGACAAGTGTCCAAAACCTTAACACCTGCCAGCCTAACCAGGTTATGAGACCATTTTAGACTGGTTTTAAATGTTTTTTTGACTAGCATATGCAGTCTCGTAGGTTTTGAAACACGTCCATTACTTCATACAGGAAGACTAGACTTTATTGCAGTTGGACCTACATTATAAACATATTATCTCATGACTTACTGAGCGGACCTCCAGGACCGACACCTTGCTCTTTGCACGCGGGTGGAGTTCCGCTCTGCCGCTCGAAGTTGCCTGGATTGGAGAAATAATCCCGCAGGCGAGGCAGCTCGCGTCCGCCTTCCAGGAGTTCGGTGTGCAGCTCCAGGGCCGTGAGGATGTACTGATCCCGGAGCAGCTGCGCGGCGATCGCATCAAGCGACACCCGAGTCTCCGCGCCTCCTCCTCCGATCCCAGCCACCGCCGCGGCCGACGCGGGGATACCGTCCACACTCGGGCTGGTTCGGTTGTTGGACAGCAGAGCGACTGGCTCGGAGTACGCCGGCGGCGGGGAGAAGGGACCGAGTCTGTGGCCTTGCGCTTCATCACTAGAGCTGCGCTCGGTGTCCGCGCCATCCTGCCTCTGCTCCGCTTCCTCCTCCGAATCACTCACGTTAAACGGGTTGACAGTACCCGCCGCCATTTTGCCGTAAGGTGTTTAGCCAGCTATCTGGCAAATATGTGTCTCCCGTCTTTCTAGACGGATGTCAAGAGCGCTTTATTGATCCTAATCAACGTGGCTCCGGGAAATATGCTTTGGTTGGAGGGGCCGAATGTCATTTCAGCACCCCGCCTCCTCCCTGCCAAGACACGAGCGGAAATGACGTCATGCACTTCGATTAGCCTGGATCCGCCAAGCGGACGTGAGAAGATCCAATGAGAAAACATAAGAAGTCAAGATTTATTTATCAAACGCAAAACAGTACAGCACGCACGCCATATCTATCTATCTATCTATCTATCTATCAATTGCAAATTGACTTCATTCTGTCTCTGCCTGTCTCTCTGTCGTTCTAAGCTCCACCTGTTTTAGAGAACCTTTTACTGGAACACTTTTCTTCTGTTAAGCATTTTGTATGAGGAATTAGGAAATATCCTAATAGCACTTTGAAGTCACAATTCAAGATAAAGACAAATCAACACATCAGCATTGAAACAGACAGATATTTCATCTCATGACAGTCTCATCTCAACTGAAACAGCTGATATAAGCCAGATTTACAGCATGTTTGCCTTGCATCTGTTTGACCATCAGTAGATGTTCACGTGGCTGCAACCTTATTAGTGATTGTACACAATCAGACATTTGTTTGTGCCATCTGCTGGACTGAACCAAGCATAGCATGTTTTCAGTTCTGGCTCTTTGGTCACATATGGTACATTAATTTCTAATTTGCATGTACATGACTTCTATGCAGTGATGCAAATATATTACTTAATTAAATAAACACACAAATAAATATTTTTTGCTGTTCTGTGGCAAAGTGTAGGAGCAGTTCACATGCATGGATCTCATCTATTCATTAAAGGTCTGTTTTGCTCTTGATGTACCAAACTACACCAGATGCTATGTGGATAGCGTTTGATATTTTTCCTCCGTTAAAATTTTTGAATTAGTGTTTATGTAACGGAAGCTATGGTTACCATGGTCATTTTTTTGAAAGGGCAGTAAGTAAAAATATGACTTTTATTTTGAAATATATATCAGTCAGCTGTGAGAACAACTATTGAGTGGTTAATGTTAGTTGTAGCAGTAGTTCCACATAAGGCGCAAGATTCTGAATGCCGCTCAGAAATGCTGTCTTGGATCCGATGATCTCTAGGTTTTGGGACACAGCCATCGTCTGAAGTGTGGGTGGTTGAGGCGCGTGTGTTGTGTTGAGTTGTTGCCTAACAACCTCTGCGTCTGCACTCATCCGCTCCATCTCCTCCTCTAAACACAGTCTTATTTCATTTCCAAGCCCAGAGAGCAGCATATTCACTCTTGTGTTATTGATAAGAGCTTCATCTGATAACGGCTTCTGTCTTGTCCAGAGCTTTTTATTAACTGCTGAGTCTGGTTTGGGAGAATATGAATGTCAACATCAGCAACTTTATGGAGGACAGAAAGGCGAACACCGAAGAAGCGCCTTACATGGAAATGAAGGTAAGCTTAATTTCTAATAGAAATAGTGCTGCTTGATTTCTTTGTGTGTTAAAACATGAACATTTTATGTTTATGTATTTATATTTCAAGTTATTGTTTTATTACTTGTCTTTCTTTCATAGACAAGTTTTGGTAACAAGGAGAACATCAAGCCTGCTAATAAAAAACAACCTTCTCACCCCAAACAGACCAAAGGCAGGATATATTTCAATATAATTTCAGTCAAATTCATATATTCAATACTTGATATTGGATGTTACATTTTAAAATCAGTGTCTGTTCTTTCTCACTTATTTAAAAATGCCATTGAAGATGTTTCATATTGTCGTCTTATTTCCAGAAGAGAGTTTTGGCCTCAGTTTACCTCTTGGAGAGGAATATGAAAGAAAAAAGCAGAAGTTAAAGCAAGAACTACGTCTTGATTACCGACACTTTATGTCCGAGGTACACTATGCTCCTCTGATACAATATAACATTTCAATAAACATCTGAAATAGGTCTATATAATAAAAAATTACTTGCACACCTGTTTCTCTTTTGATGTTTTTTTTTTTAAACTACATATTTAAATAGTTTGTGTTTCTGTTTGTTAATCAGATATATATTTTAAATAAATTATTTATTTTAATAAAGTTTTAATTAGTTTCTTCTATTTCTTCCTTAGAAAAAAAATCAAATTATTGCTGATCCACTTCCACAGTCCCACATGCTGTCTCTCCCCATAAAAGAACGGAGATCAGCAAAGGTAAAATATGTGTTTGTTGTTCATCTGTAAACGTAGGCATCACTAGAGCAAATTCCGCATTTGGTGCCATGACCTGGTTCAATCCGTTGCACAAAGACCCATCCTTACTGTTTGGCAAGCCGTCAGTGACATGAAAAATGATTTGCTTACTCTGACTGGATAAGGTGTCTAGTGGCAACCAGGTTATTGCTGAACTGCAGATCTGTTTTGCGTACACATTTTGAGATTTGTACAATCGTAAAAGAGGTCTTATACTATGAATAATTGTTTATTGTTACCATAGAAATGTAACAGTACACTATTAATGTAACAGTTTTGTGATTCTACCCAGGAAAAGCTGCAGGATGAGAGGAACAAGGAATATAATATGTTTCTCCGAGGGCAAGAGGGAGCACAGAAAATAGGGAAAACTTCAACTACCCCACAGGTTTAAATGAAATAAAGCATTATTTTGTTGATATATGACCTATACATCTACATTAATAAATAATCTTTACAAATGTCCTTATTGAACTACAGTTTAAAGGAATAGCTCACCCAAAAATGAAAATTTGCTGACAGTTTACTGACCCTCAGGCCATTCAACATGTAGATGAGTTTGTTTCTTCACCGGGACAGATTTGGAGAAATTTATCATTACGTCACTTGCTCACTAATGGATCCTCTGCAGTGAATGGGTGCCATCAGAATGAGAGTCCAAACTGCTGATAAAAACATTGCAAGTAATCCGCACAACTCCAGTCCATCAATTAACATCTTGTGAAGTGAGAAGCGGCATGTTTGTAAAAAAACAAATGCACCACTGAGATGTTTTAACTTTAAACCATCGCCTAGCTAAAATACTCTATCCATAAAATTGCTTCCTCCAGTGGAATTTTCAGCAAATTATCATTCAATTCAACTATTCTTTTAAAATTCTGTAGACTTGAACCTCTCCTTGAATCCACAGCATGTGTTGATCATGTTTCTGTCAGGCCCTGGAGAGAGATCGTTTTGGCTCTATTACTCCAAAGTATCCTGTTGGTTCTCTAGAGGTACAAGCGCAAAAGGCCAGTCAGAGCCCGGAGAACACCGTGTTCTCAAAAAGGGATGTTGCCACTCTGACTGAGCCCATTTCCGGAGTGCCTAAGGTATCAAGGCCACGGAGACGCTGGGGAGAGACACCGGATCGCTGGGGAGGCCCTCACCGAGATCACACCAGTTCTGATGAGGAGATAGAGCTCTTAGAGAAGGAGAGGCACAAAAATGTACAGGAAGACACGGGCAAAACCAGGAGAGGAGGAAAATATGACAACAGCTCTCACAGGTGCATCTTACATGTTCTCTCTATTGCGTCCTGTTTATTTTGGTGGCACTCAGAAGTTGATATAGTTATATTTGAGGAAACATAATAAGAATAATATTCTCTTGAGGGACTTCCGTCTAGATCGGTTATAATTAGGCCCATATGGAACTGTGATGAAAACTCCACGGATTGGCACGGATTTTGCGCACATGTCATTTACAAAATGATATATCTATTCTGCCCCATGCATGTCCATTGATTAGATTTTCTGGAATATAATTGCATTTTGAAAACTTTTTAATGTTGCTTACATAAAGTAAAATATTTCTGGTTTATTTAATAATGACATTTTACACATACAGGTGCATCTCAATAAATTATAATGTCGTGGAAAAGTTCATTTATTTCAGTAATTCAACTCAAATTGTGAAACTCGTGTATTAAATAAATTCAATGCACACAGACTGAAGTAGTTTAAGTCTTTGGTTACACATTTTACCGTAAATAAGTGCACGCTGCAGATTTTACCACATTCAAATGTGGAAAAACAAGTACAGATTTATCACAAATTAGTAATTCTGATTTATCATTAGTGTCATTGTGTGGTCAGATATTTTTATACAATGGCTAATAAACGTAAAATAACTCTCACATTATAAATAATTCAATATACATTAAAAACACCAGTATTGTAAAATATTATATACAGTCAAATTATCAGCAGCCATTACTCCAGTGTCACATGATCCTTTATAAATAAATATGATATATACATAT